TGGCATCTGGGAGAAGAGAAACCCAACATGTCCAAAAGGGAGAAGATAAAAGAAGAACACAAGTGAGGTTAGCCATGCTGATGAGAGGGCTGCTCTGCAGTCTGCTCTTTGAAGGGCAGCTGAACTAACCACCAGAGAATTTCACATCAAAAAGAGACGCTAGACTATCGCCCAGTGGGCACGGAACACATTCCCGGAGGAAGCGACATTAACTAATCACCACAAAATATGTAAAGGGGGACGCAGAGTACTTTGTCCAATCTGTAAGAAACACCTATCAGTGAAAAACAAAGCGAGACATGAAGGATCTTGCAAACAGAGAACTTCAACCAATGAACGACGCAACAGTAATCGGGAGGTATTTGAGAACGAGAGAAGAGGTACAATGCGACCGCACTGCCAAATCTTCGTTAGCATGAACGGGATATCGAGACCCCAAAAAGCTTGGCTATGGAAACGGCAATCAAAATCCCCTAATGGGACGTTACTGGAAACGATACCAAACGAAAAGTCGGCATGTTGCTGATGAAGCAGAACCAGTAACAAGCAACAACAGAAAACAGAAACCTTTTTCATGAAACACTTTAGCCAACAGAACGATGTCCTGGTGTTTCCCCACACTAACAACGAATTTTACTTGGAGAATCGCTCCACTATGAAACAGCCCTCAGCGCTTGTCTCGCTTCTTTAAGCGTCAACGGTAAAAGTGGTAGCATTAAGAATCGTCAAAACCATTATGTTGCGCTGGTAGACATGAAACCGATAATGGTTATTTCGATACGTCATGTGTATAGTTCAATTTTTTTCATAAATAAACATCTTTTTTAGTTTTTTGGTCAATGTGTAGCATGCTTGATCATTTTTTAGTTAAGTTATTTTTTAAGATTCAGTTCTTAGTTTCAAATTGCTTGCCAAATGAGGTTTTGAGCTCGTTGCTACAAGAAATAAATTCATTTCATCTTTTTTTTTGAAACGCTACACTTGAAGAAAATCATGGTTAACAGCGTGGGATGGTGGAACTAGGAGGTTGGGGACTAGGTGGATGCGTAGGTGAGAGGGGTGGGTGAAGATATAAGTGGTGATGAGATGTGAGGGTTAGCGTAGGTAGGGTGGGTAGGTGGGGGGAGGAGGTAGGTGTGCGGATGGGCGTAATTTTTTGGGCGTCAAACTTCAGAAAACCTGGGTTTAAACTGTAAGGGATACGGAGAAAAATCGAAAAGTTTTCAATCCTTTTTATTCCATTATAATGGGTTTTAAATGGATTAAAATTGATTAATTTCTCCTAAAAATAGTGAAATGCTATGGATTATAATCGATTGTGTGGTCCCACAGTATAATTTTAATCGATTATAATACCAACATTTTTGACCACAAAAATCGATTATAATCGATTATTATCCATGGAATCTCACTGCGGGGGGGGGGGAGTGCTTGTTGAGTCCCTCCATCTAAATCAGCCTCTACCTATAAATTTTTATGAAAGAGTTTTCGAGAAACTCACTACCAAAAAAAATATGAAATCTTGCCTCAAAAGTATGAATTTTGCTTCAAAATGAGCGGTTTGAACGGTTTTTGAATGGTTTATCTAAAAAAAAACGCTCAAAAACCGCGCAAGATTTGAACGGTTTTTGAGCGGTTTTTCTAGATAAACCGCTCAAAACCCGCTCAAACCGCTCAAATCTTGCTTCAAATTAGGTGGAAAATCTCGACTCGGGCTAGAGAATAACTAGTTTGTCAATAATTTTTTTTAGAAAAAACAACGGCTCAACAAAAAAGGTTTTTGAACGAAGAGTTTTTTTAATAGACGAACCTTGGTATGAATCCAACTCGAATCGGACCAAAGCAACATCGGTATCGAACTCGTATATGATGCTAGTGTTCCCGGCCTCCAGACTTTCATCGGCATCATCTAGCGACTCGTATCCTATCTGGGATCCTGAAACAAGCAAAGAAAATCAGAATTCTTCTATGTCAGTACTTTAATATTTTTTAACAAAAGCAAAATGAATAATGAAGCAAATATTACATTTGTTGGAACATACCGTTGTACGAAAACTGGTTAATGACGAGAGTCGTGGATTCGTTGATGTTCGCATTTGGCCACGAGACATTGACTCGGGTGGCACTCAGATACTCGATCTGCAGCAAACCATCAACCAGCTCATCGTGGAAGGAGAGTGTAGCGTCTATCTTTCTCTCCACATTGTCTACGTCCATGCTTACCTGGACCACCTCGTTCGCGCCCCAAAACACCGGCACAGGTATGATCACTATGGTTCTGCTGTAGTCAAATGAGGCCTGGATTGTCTTGTTGAATGAGCTGCCAATCAACTTGACGTCGAGGGTGAAGTCGCTGTTGTGGAAGAAGCCCGTGCATTGAATGACCACCTCATCAACCGAGTTATCCCCACCTGAGTAGAGTGGAAGAGACGAAGGCATGAAGTAGGCTCCATGGCAAAAGGATACCAGGTGTGGGGGGATGAGAACAAAAGGCGCCTCGTATCCCTGGTTGAATTCAAAGATCCACAGTCCTGGAACTCCGACGTTGCTTGTAGTCTCCCACTTTTGGGCTTTTTTGGTTCCATCAAATGGCAGTTGTACGTTGCCTGAAAACAAACAAAACATCGTCAAATATCAAGATAACCTAATTTCAATCTATTTTCAATCTATGCAATTTTAATGCTGAGTTGATTAATTTGGTTGGCTATGTCAGCGACGCAAACTAACGAACTTCCAATTTTTGTCAAAATAACGTTATTTTGACCAAAATAAAAAATTCATGTGTCGACAAAATTTACCGACAAACAAACCGACAAAATTTACATAACAGCTATTTGTGTGCTGAATCCATAGAAGTTTTGGAAAAGTAATCCATCATGGAGTTTTTTAATTGGAATCCAATTGGAAATTGATTAAAGACTTATCCCTGGAATCTAGTGACCTACAGAAACCAAATTGTGAGCCTACCCAGTGCACAGTTCGGCCTCGTAATGCTTTTTTTAACCTAAATCAATTTTGAATACCTTTTTATAGAAATCATGCAAACTTGATGGCACTTTTAAGTTTGAGCTCAAGATAAAATGAAGAAATAGAAGCTATTGTGGAAATATAAATTTTCTATTGTGTAGAAGTATGATTGGGATTTATGGTACTTATTTTCTAACCACTGTCAAGAGCGAACGAAGCTTCTGCGCTAGAACCATCTTCGACCATATAGTTCACATCCCGGTATTGAGTCATCATGTAGCATTTGTTGTCAGTGACGTGGACTGTCTGATTGGTTGTGTTTTGTGCTTGGTCACAAGCGATGACGACTTGAGCGCTGATTTGATAATTCAGCAGGAAAGAGTAGTCTTTGACTTTGTAGAAAGTCATCACAGCGCCATAGTCAGCTGAGAAGTCCTGGCCGATACGGGAGTTGATGATGTCCAAGTCATGTTGGCTGGAAATGTTACGAACAAAGATATTGTCAACCAGGTTAACGTATTTGGTGTCCGCCCCTCCTAGAACGGTAGTCCACTGGTCGTCAAAGTAGATGTCCACATTTTTTCGCAGGAAGCTGATGTAATCCCACTCGTGTGCTTTTTCGTATGTGAAGATGATGGCATGTTTTCCAGTGACGTAGTCGGAAAAATCCGCTTCATAGGCGTCGGAAGTACTGTCGTACTGCAAGTACCATTCGCATATGTTATCGTCGTCATCGACTGAGGGCATGCACATTCTGTCCAGTATGGTGTCTTCAGTGTCTCCGTCAATATCCGCAATTTCGATGTTGTGTGTATCACCCGCGTCATCAACAAGGTCAATGTACACATTCGGGCAAGCTTTGACTCCAACGATAGTGTAGTTGTCATAGCGCAAGGGTCCTTCAAGTCCCATTAGATCACTAGTACACCCATCTGCTTTGTCCTGAAACTTGTCCCCGACGTCTGGTCCAAATTCCAAGTCAAACGGTTCCTCCAAACTCCATCCGCCCCCAAATGTCGTCCAAAGTACGAAGACTAGCAATCCCATCTTATGGACCACGAACCAGTCCATACAATTGACATTCATAACTGATGTCCTTTGAATTATTGTAGTTTCAGAACTAACTTTTTAAATCAGTTTTAACAAACTGACAATTCAAGACAAAAATGAATACTGAATAGTTTTTCAAATCGAAACGGCACAGCTGATAGTGACCAATCATATTGGCCTCATTCAAACAGCTGCGCTTTAACTGGTCAGATATTCTTGTTTGTAATTCTTAATGCTCTAAATTGAAAAAAGATTTTTTGATTCAAATCATAATATTTTAAAAAACATTGGGTGCAATGATACGTGAGCCGATTTGAATGGAATACCCACAAAAGCGGACACGCAAAAACTTGTTCTATAGAGCGTAGAAAGGGACCCGACTCTGAATTCACTGCTAGTCATTAAACAAGTCTTTGATTTACAGAGAAAATAAAAAACCGACGAAAAAAAAGTTTTTTAAAATTTTGGTAAAAACCTATTTTAAACAAAATTTTTGGTCGTTTGATGAAAGTAGTAGTATAGTAAAAGTGGCTAGGAAAATGACCACTTTTAACCCCCCCCCCCAAAATTCGATGTGCCGTTGTACTTACCACTTTTAACCCCCAAAGGGGTTAAAGCCCCTACTTTTTCGGGCACGCATGTTTTAAGGGGGGTTAAAATTGGTAATTTTCCAGCCACTTTATGGAAACGGGAGGGAATTAGGTTTTGGTTGGTGCATGTTTTCCCTTTGACTTTGACAGTTCAAACTTTACTGCGCGCGTTATATTGTGGATTATTTTGTAATCTTTATCGCCACGTGTGGAATTAAATAAAATGCTGTGATATTGGTAAGTTTATATTGTTGTTTTGAATACCCCCCTCCCCTCACAATTAGAGTTGTTGATTATTTCACTTTTCGGTCAAAAGAACAATTTTGAAAAGCTTTATTTCCTGAATGAAAAGTACTATAAAGCGAATCATTTACATTTATAATCAGAAGTTATTTAGTCAGAATCGTCTAATATAAAAGCACGTCGATTTAAGCACCGCCGCCGTTTAGGTGGTCTAATTTCTTCCCGCTCGTTTTCTTCTCGAGCTTCAATGTCCAAATAGGGGCAGTTGTACGCTGCTGGTTCTGACTCATTTTGCTCACTTAGCTGGTCGAAATCTACCAAATCCTGTTCTAGCTCTTGATCAGTGTATGTGGGTTGGTTGAACCCCATATCTGGTAGAGTAAAAATATCCACATAATACCCACCCTGCGCTTCTATAGCTTCAGCCAAATCCTCCCCACTTCCGTTATCGGTGGGAGTTGGGACCAGGGCGTCGTCGTCTACGTCGTATTCGCCCCAGTCCATGGTGCGCCCAATTTCTCTTATGAACATATCCTCACGCAAACGTTTATGTCCGAAAGGACTAGTAGTTACTCTGTCTGCATGTATATAGCGCTTATTGTCAAATGCGCTCAGGGAAATTTTGTTTGTTATTATGGTTTGTAAATTGTGATTGCAAGAATTTATCCTCACATTTTCTGACCGGACAAGCGAACAGTAAGTCAAAGTTTCTTTAAATTTATTATGGGTTAGCTCCATTTTTGTAAATTTAGAAATACCTTTCGAGCTTTTTTTGTCCATGTCTGAAACAAAAATACAATCAATTTACTTCAAATTTTTAACAGTTTTTTCTCTTTTCTACATAAATACCTCCATTCCCCCCCCCAACCCTCACTACATAATCTTATGATTTGTTTTTGTTGCCCTTTTCTAAAATGGTAATTGCAAAATGGTAAAAGAAAAGAAAAAGAAACTTACTCGAAGAAATAATGCTGTACAGTTTGGGTTTTAGTCCGACGTACTCCTGTATGATCTCCCCAGCAAACTCGTCCTTGAATTTCAGGGTAACGCGCAAATTCTCGTTGGTGTAGAGGGGGTGGGTGACTGGTAGATTTGAAAAGTCAAAATGATTTCGCAGTTCATGGTTTTTCTCAATTTCCTTGTAGAGATCTTTGCTGCGGATTTCATACAGGAACGAATCAGTGTCCGAATATAAAAGAGTTGCGTCAAAATTTTTCTTGATTATGTTGTAATGGAACTGGAACATGTAAAATTTTGCCAAATCTAGTATCGTTGCACCAACAATTGTGGGCTTATCCCAGTTAATGTTCACAGGTTTTGAGGTTACAGATACCAAGTGTTGGTCAATAATTTTTATACTGCTAAATCTTTTTTTCCTTGATAAATTTTGCAGTTCTTCAGCATTGCGAACAATATCTACAATAAGTCGATTCCTTTTTGATTCGCAGAATTTTCCAAACGCACTATTTATTATTTGTTTGAAGAAATCTTGTTCAAACTTGGTAGTAGCTTTTTTTCGGAGCTCAGTGTTCAACTGAACATATGGTGCAATAAATTTTTCTTGTCTAAACTGCAGTACTCGATTAACTTTTTCAATTTTCAAACCAAGTTTGACGTAGAGCTGAAGTGTTAGGTAGTGTACAGTATAGTTTTTCTTTGGAAAGAAGTTTTGTATGAGCTTTGGCGTAGTGCCCACTTTATCCGAAATGTTCATTTTTTTCATCATGTCCAATTGAAGCTCACTGAGCCACATTTTGGACACAACTTCTTTTGTTGGGGCGAGTGGGTAATCCGAATGTGCATCATGCAAATGATCGGGGTATAAAAGATCGACGTCCAAAATGTATCCAATTTCGGATTCTCTGCTCGTGTTGAGAATTTCAGCTATAGTAACTTGGTCATTAAACTCAAATGAGTTAAGTGGAAGAGGAAATTTTTCCATAATCCCGCCGTATAAATTGTTCGCGTCTATCATGAAGAGGAAAGTGTTAGGCTGTTTAGGGTCGTAATTTTTCACAAATTTATTGTTGGCGGAAACAAGTCTTTTTTCAAACACACTTGCAATGCCCCCCCTGATCAGGTTTTCTGCCATATCCAAGTGCTCCCTATTAGTGAGCAAATGTAGGTCAGCCTTGCATGTTCGCAAAAATGCATCCCCTGAGAGATTGCTAACCGTGAAATATTGAGCACAATCTAGCTTATATGTTTCATAACACACTCGTCTAAACTCTTCAAAAACGCATGCAAGAATCAAGGTATCAGTCGTTAGATACAAATCGCTGTATTCGCCCAAAGTCTGACAACCGAAACGAGTGTACACTAACCATGCATGTTGGTATTCTTTTTCACTGACACTAACAACACCTCCTTGCAGCGTGTTGGTCCACTTGTCGCGTGCAGGTAGTCCATCTTCTGTGTATCTTGCATGGCTGTCAACATACGAGTAGGGGAAGTAACCTTTTTGTCGAATCAATGCTTTATCTTCTTCCGGTCGGGTAGCAAAGTGGTTATTGAGATAGATGAACTTTTCCACGGGTAGATTTCGGGCTAGCTCATCGAGTGAGCTGTTCATAAATTTACAACTGTCCACAAAACGGATTTCTTCGTAGACATGTTGGACATTTCCTTTTTCGCTAGTGTACGATCTAATCCACACTTTCATTGTTAGTGAAATAAATTTTTCGTCATTGAGAGGAATGACCGAAAAGGTGTTTCTGGTATTGGTATCTTGCAGACTCTTCAGTACATGGTGCAAATCATAATTCTGGAGATTGTGGGCAAAGACAGGGGTGAATTGTATGGTACGTCTCAGGAAGTTGCATTTGTTGTGAGCCCATCCGAGGAATGATCCATCGAAATGATTATGGTCCAAAACTTTTGCGTTAGTTTCGGAGAATTCCTCTTCGCAAATCCAGCATTTGTCACTGTCTTCAAGAATAGTGGTGCTTCCGAGGTAGTTCGGGTATCGTCGTTTTTTATTATGGAAGTCACGCGCCAATACTTCCAGCATTCGAACGAATTTAGTCATGGCGTCCACTCCTCGATGAAGTGAAAAAAACGCAGGTTTCGGGTTTCCAGCTTCCACAACGACAAGGCAAAAACTGCTGGGCTTATGTTTTTCAATCACGGTTGTGCTCGAGCAGTTAGGATTATTTCTCACCGTCTCCACCTTCTCCAGCACAGACTCCAAATCAAAGTAAACCGCGAATGGGCTATAGCTTCGAGCACCGATGTTTTTGAAGCCTACGCTGCTCTTGTCAACATTTGGCATGGTAACGATTGCTGGTTCGTTCCCCATGCAGATTAACTGGTGGCGCTCAAGTCGTTCCTGAGATGAACACCGGTGGAAGCAATTTCGGCACAGCATGTTTCTCGATCTCAGTTTTCTTTTTTGCATTTTGCTCACTAGCTTGTTCAGGTCTTTTATCACGACGTAGTGATGCGTGCCCATATCGTTTAGAAGCAGCAAATCCACAACAAAATTAGTCTGATATTTTGACACTCTCAGGGGTAGAAGAGTCTTTTCATTGTACCTAGAGAAAAATTTTGAAAGATATTTTTATACTAATTTTTAATGTCATCATAATAATAATTCTTCAACGAATGTGCAGTCAACCATTTGTTCTGATGTGCTTAGATACAGCTTCACACCAATAAAAAAAAATTTGATTAAAACTTCAACTAACCTGAAGACATTCACTTGCACTTCATTCAAAATTTCGAAGCGTGCAATAGCCGGTAGTCCCATTGGGTACACAAAATCGCCAGTTGGCTCGTGCGCTCTTGAGTTTCTGCGATAATCATAGAAGCTCGCTTTCTCCTCCTCTTTACTCTGCATCGTACGAAGAGTGAGCGGGATATTGTTCTGCCGATGATACTCAGCAACGAAGCAGTACTCAAAGCATCGATCGTCTTCATAGTTGCGAATATTCAACAAGAAGCGTTTGAGTTTCAGTAGATCGGCTGGTAGTGGCAAGTACGATGAACCCCTGATCGGTGCAGACTTCACCATTTTTAGGACAATCTTATCAATCCTGCGGATTCTCCAGCCACTACCATGAGACGCATATTGATGGACAGTAGACAATATTTGGTCTACGCAATCATAGAATTGGTCCTGGGTCCATCCTTGAACGTCTACAGCAAGCATTTTGCAATTGGCGAAGATGGTTATTACTTCTTCTGTGCCATCTGCCTTCTCTTTTTCAAGAGTTACTTCTGCCGACAATTGAGCTTTCTGAGGCTCATACATAGTGTTTTGAAGTATCAGCTCTTCGATTTCGTCTCTCATGGTCACGAACAGCGCTAGTAGGTCCACTTCCGTTTCCATCGGCACTATATCGTATGTCCTGACTGCTCCATCAAAAGCTGTCTCAGGCTGTATAGAAGTGAGGATTTCTCGGCTCACATCCCATGCTGGCAGACCGTGTTCGTTTAGCATATGCGCAGCATATGCGCGATCATTTTGGAACACATTCATGTCGTAGAGACAAATTCTTCTTTCTTCCGTTTCATCGATTGTTTTGTGACGCTCCACGACATGTTCCCAAATGACGCGAAGTGACTTATCCTCTAGTTCACAGTGACCACAGATGTAGTCGGTTTTCACAGGATCAATCTTGTGAACAGCCATTAGATGTTTTTTGAGGCTTCGCCGGTCACTCAGTTTTTTTTGGCAGAGATTACAGGGTACGACTTTTGTAGACATTGCGAGATGGTTGTTTTTTTTGAGAATTTTGATATTTCCGAAAGCTAGGTTCAAATAAAGTAGATACTGGTTTACAAGTCAAAAGAGTTCGAGTGATTTTCCGTTTGTTTTACGACTGCTATTAAATCTGTTTAGATTTTCAAACTTTTTCTATCATTTGCTTAATTGCCAAACAAGGAGTGGTTTCCTAAGGTGGAGCTTAGATTAATAAAATCGAGAGGGTGCGCCCAAAATGCTCTCAGATACATCAAAGAAAATAACTTCGGCTCATTAAGTAAACCTATAAAATAGTCTCATAAATCAACCAAATTTTCTGAATTAACCACAAAGTTCCTAGACAAGTTGTGTAGCTTCAAACAATTCATCGGCACTCAATTCAAAAAGACCTCACCCGAGTAGACCTAAGCCCAGCAGAGTGAAATGAATGCATTACACCGAATGTAGTTAATCATCAATTGAGCTGTCAAAGAAGTGATAAAGCTTCATATCATTAATTTTTTAAAAATTAAATAATGGGAATTTTTCATGTCAAACTTCTGAAAATCGAAAAAACCAAACAGGTCAATTTATTCTTTTTTGATTTTTTCTTGTTTTTATTAAATTCATTCGGCGTATATGTTCACTGATTCAGGTATCTGTTGGGTCCTTTGCAGTGTTTCAGCTTTTACTTTTAGATGGTTTCCACTGCAGGGTTGAGAGGAGCATTGGCTCAGTGGATATGCAGTCCTTTCAAAAACCACCAAATATCTTTTGAAACGTGGCCGCCCGCTGAGTCTAAAAAAATTGGTTTCATCCATTTCTGAGCACGGCTTCATAGTGAACGACACTTAGCCAACGATGAATTTTAATGAATTTTGATTTTCTCAAAAATAACATTTCAAAAAGCGTTGTATCAAGGAACTGGGGGTTTCATCAGCCGTAATACCCTTATAGCAACAGTATGAGATACTTTTAGATGCTTTCAGCTTTTACTTTTAGATGGTTTCCACTGCAGGGTTGAGAGGAGCATTGGCTCAGTGGATATGCAGTCCTTTCAAAAACCACCAAATATCTTTTGAAACGTGGCCGCCCGCTGAGTCTAAAAAAATTGGTTTCATCCATTTCTGAGCACGGCTTCATAGTGAACGACACTTAGCCAACGATGAATTTTAATGAATTTTGATTTTCTCAAAAATAACATTTCAAAAAGCGTTGTATCAAGGAACTGGGGGTTTCATCAGCCGTAATACCCTTATAGCAACAGTATGAGATACTTTTAGATGCTTTCAGCTTTTACTTTTAGATGGTTTCCACTGCAGGGTTGAGAGGAGCATTGGCTCAGTGGATATGCAGTCCTTTCAAAAACCACCAAATATCTTTTGAAACGTGGCCGCCCGCTGAGTCTAAAAAAATTGATGGTTCCCGCTGAGTCTAAAAAAATTGGTTTCATCCATTTCTGAGCACGGCTTCATAGTGAACGACACTTAGCCAACGATGAATTTTAATGAATTTTGATTTTCTCAAAAATAACATTTCAAAAAGCGTTGTATCAAGGAACTGGGGGTTTCATCAGCCGTAATACCCTTATAGCAACAGTATGAGATAAAGTTGCAGTTCACGAAATCAATTTTTGGCATTTTTTGGACAAAAAAATAAAAAACGAAATTTTGCATACTTTTTCTGGTTTCGGTTTTGAACAGAAATAACTTGTTAGGTGCTGCATATACAGGCAAACTTTCATTAGCTAAGTTGATCACCTACTACTGGTCGAAACCAGAGGATAATTTTTGATACCACTGTTTGTTTCAAACAAAATTTTGAAACTCTTAATTTTTTTTCAAAAACAAAAAAAAATTTAAAATATGTTTCTTTTTGTTTAGTTTTATTCTTTCAAAGATTTCTGAAAAAAAAAAGTTAGAGAGCAAACATTAAATTAGAAAAATCATAAACAAAACGTAAGCAAAGATTCAGCCACAATAATAAAAAAAGTTATCAAACTAAATAATAAACCCCAAACTGGTGCACTCTCGGTGGAAACAAATTTTTTTTTGAGTTTTCAGAGATCTCTAAATTGCAGTTTGCGTTTTTTCGGCGCATAGCAAGCATTGATAGGCGGTGTCTCAGCTACTAACTTTGGTGCAGTGGGACTTTGACTGCCGGAAAAATAAGAAGCAGAAGAAGTTTGCTGCTGCTGATGTTGAGTGATTGAAAAGATATCCGGTTTTATTGGGGTTTTGGGCGTCTGCTGGTCCTCATCTTTTTTCTCTGTTGAATCTGGTGATTCAATCGACTCAATGTTCCAGTAACTTTCTCGCTCTGCTAAATCTCTAATGGATCCTTCCTGATTTTCGTAAAAGGGGATCGATTGGCAATCGTAGTTGAACAGTATTTTTCTCGGTGAACTATCAAGGCAAGTAGGGTCTTGAATATCTGTGCGCTTCAGCGCAGGATACGATTCAGTCACACAACAACTCTCGTAGACCTGTTTTCTGCTTTGTATGAGGATACCAATTTGATCTAGCAAATAATGGGGTAACATCATATGGTTTTTAGTGACCCATTCATCGAATTCTTGGCTTCCTGGATCAAGATCGTTCAAAGGACTCGCGTTTCGATGACGCATTTTCCGTTCCTGTTGAACCACTACGATAGAATCTCTGGTATAAGTTTGGTACAATATAGCTCTTTCAAGAGAATTAATTGAAATAATTTGCAGTGGAGTTGCCATCGTTGAAAATTTTGTTTTGTTTGATTTTGAGAGATTGAATGAAAATAGTGAGTAGATTTAGTTTGACGTACCACTTTTAGTTTTTTATTGCTGGTGGTCTAGTTTTAGCCAATTACCATAGATCGGGTTTTGTAAAATTTTAATATGTTTTCAGGGCTTTTGCAATTAAAGTAGAAATGTTAACGCTTTGAAAATCTATACTTCAAAGAAACAGCATGGCGCCTTTTTATGATACCCTAAGCACAAAATGACAGAAGTTTTACACTTCAAAGAGATAACAGGCATGCCGCCGGGGGTAAAACCGTTGAGATTTATGAGCTAAAACGGGAATTTGCCAGACAGATTTGACATGTATAACTTAAACTCATAAATTTCCAACTGCAAACTAATTAAAAGTCCCCAATGAAGCTTAAGCTATACCGTAAAAGAAATCACCCGAGTTAAGCTCTTCACCGGCTAGGTAAATCATTCTTAAATTGTCTCTTGACTGATACGGTTGAATAAAATTACCGCTACCCAACTATGTACACGCTTGAAAGTGATACTAACTTTTTTGATGACTTTCGTGATATTTCTTCAGGAGAAAAACGTATAGTCAGAGTTGGAACAAAAACATTTGAAAAAACAGGTACCTATATTACACTAAAATTGTTTAAGAAAACTGACGAAGAAGTGTTCAAAATGTATCAAGCAGTTACTTTGACGACGAAAGAATTTGATAGCTTAGCAGATAATTATTCAAAAATAAAAAAAATGATCAAAGCACCAACTGGTGAAAAGATTTCAACTTCCACAACAGGAAACGATAAACCTCAAAAACGACGATATAAATCAAAACGATCGGTTTACTCCGAAAAAGACTGTAATAGTGAAAACGGAGAGGATGATGAAGAAGATTATTGCATCAAAAAAAGTCGAGTGGCTTGAGTAATTGGAAAAAAAAAAACCCAGTTTCATTTATTAATTATCAGAATGGTTGAAGCAATGTATGAACAATCGCCGGAATACTTTAAACAATTTCGGAAAAACTTTAAATTTTTTTTTCTGAACAATGAACCCGACGTTTCTGACCTTCCTTCTAATACAAACTTTGCATTTGCAGTCCATTCAAATCAGAACGATTTTTGTTCCCAATCTCCTGCCAATGGTCAGCCACATTACCACGTTCTTATCGAAGTTACAAAAGAATGCACTGAAGCAGTTAACAAGATGACCTTAAAATCTTTTATTGTGCCTTGCCTCCTTTCATCCTTTAAATATTTGATTACGCGGTGCAGCAAATATCATCTATCAGGACCACTGATGGAAAAAATGAAATTGGCTGTTAACTACAATTCGACTAACAACCTTGACACCGCCGGAGTTTCTTTGCGAAAACGATTGCCACAGATTTGCTTTGCATCACAGACTCGATCCATTCAAACTCAAACTGATCTAATTACTAATGTAACCATTGAACGTTTTATTCGAATTTTGAATGGGGATAATGCTGCCGAATTTTCAAAAATCATTGATATTATTTTGAGTGGGTATGGTCGATTAGAGATTGATTCGAATACTTTGTTTGTTAAATTTATAATGGAGAAGAAATACAATTTTTGAAAAAAAAACATTTCTGAGATAATTCCAGCGGTATGTGTTCTAGCAACCATAAAACATGTTTTTTTAAAAAAAAATCAATTATAAATCATTAAAGAAATGCAACAGTATCACAAAATTATAACATCATATGTTTAGCAAAACGCATCATGTCATGATCGTTAACCTTGAAACCTATAGGAAACCTAGAAGAAATTATAACATGAGCAACATAAATACAATAAAGTCCACACAAGACCGAGTTAGCTGATTGGATTGGCTTATTCATCAGTATTTGGTTTCCCTCATGGATAGAACGTCTCATATTTTTGTATACATGTGGATAGTTGTGTAGGCTTCGTCCAAGAGGATCTGCAAAAAAGATTTGACCACCAGCTTGAGCAAACAGTAACCAATGAGTTCCTGG